TTAACCCCCCCCCCCCCACCTCTCTCATTCTTCTTTCTTCTTCCTCTAACCCATTTCGTACATGCTCTTCAAGAGCTGTTTGAAGAAGATTTTCGAAAAGAAAAATAAATGAAGAAAAAATCCCAAAATCGGATCCAAAGAGCTAAAGAGGAGGAGCTTTCTGAAATTTAGGCTTCTAGGTGTCTCTTGGAGAGTCAAAATCACTGCTGCTCAACGTTGAAGTTGCTGTTATTTGCATGTCTGATTTCTCTCCGATTTTCTGACTTCTGTTTGGGTTTATTTCCTTCTCCTTGTCGAAGTTTAAGGTAAGTGTTCTAAATGTACTGAATCATTTGATTATATATCTACTTCTTTCTTGGTTCGAAAATTGAGTTGTATTCCTGGAGTCATGTTTGTTATTTCAGATCTGTTTATTGGGTTTGATTTGTTAGTGAACATATTCGAGATCAGATTCAGTCAGATTTGAAATATGGACATCTTGGGATTTTTAAGTCAGATAAAACTGCATATTTGCTTAAGAATTGCTTAAATGTTTAGAAATATTCTTCAAAGTGAATTGCAAATTTGTTTTAAGTTTTTTTTTTGAATTGTTCTTAAGATATAACCGTGTGCAAAATCTCACTGTTGTTAATCATTTTAGGACTTCATTTGTAATGCAACAAATCTGTTCTCAAGTAGGTTGAAGTATGGATAGTTTTTCTTTAATTTATTTTTAGAGTTTGATTCGATCTTTTCCTCAGTGCATTGGGCTTCAACGTAAGCCCATTTGCAGCCATGTTTCGGACCCTTTTGGAGGTCATTTGTTTTTGACCCACAGTAACGTTATCTTGAAATGAATTCTTTTTTTTTTTAAAAAAAATAATTGAAAGAATCCCACTCATTAATTTAATTCAATTGAAGAAGAATTCTTAAGTGTTCAACATTCTGGCAATTCATATAAGTCAGTTTCCAAATTTGCCTTGATTGGTGTACTTTATTTCCAATAGTCCATGGCCCTCAAAACAAAATTTAGAAACCCTTTTGTTAGAATAATCTGAGGCGCGCCATGCCAAATAAAATCTCAAAACCCATGGCCCTCGCTTAATTTTCTTCAAAATCCTTAGAACTCGAGGCGTGCCATTTAGCGAATTTTCATGGCCCTCGCAAAGTTGCAAACGCGTAATTGCTTTAGGCGCGTTATTTTAATAATTTACCTTCTTAAACTCGGGTGCGCATTTATGTGACCCAAATCCAAATCTCAACAATGTTAGATAAAATATGTCGAAAACCGTGGGTGCATTTATGTGACGTGGATCGAGACGTATTTTAAATAACGTTGCAATTTTCCTTAAAAAATAATGAAATAAAGCGGTTAAAGTTTAAAATTGCACCATAGGTTAGAACAACAACAACAACAACAACCCAGTATAATCCCACTTAGTGGGGTCTGAGGAGGGTAGTGTGTACGCAGACCTTACCCCTATCCTGGGATAGAGAGACTGTTTCCAAATAGACCCCCGACATCCTTCCCTCCAAGAACTTCCCACCTTGCTCTTGGGGAGACTCGAACTCACAACCTCTTGGTTGGAAGCGGAGGTTGCTTACCATCAGAGCAACCCCTCTTGTCTTAAAAGGTTAGAACATATATTAAAATCAGATAATGAGCCAATTATAATAGTTTAAGCGACCGTGCTAGAACCACAGAATCCGGGGGTGCCTAACACCTTCCCTCGGGTTAACAGAATTCCTTATTCAGAATTTCTGGTTCGCAGACTTCAAAAGGAAAGTCGAAATTTCCTCGATTTGGGATTTAAAATAAACCGGTGACTTGGGACACCAGATAAACTATCCCAAGTGGCGACTCTGATAAATAAATAATCCCATTTCGAATAATGTCACTTAAATTGGAAAAACTCCCTTATATACTATCCTTCGGGGTGGTGTGTAAAAAAGGAGGTGTGACAGATACTATCTGAATCCACTGCAGGACCTGCTTCAGGTAGGTCAATTGATCCATATCGGCATCACAAAAAACCAGGGTGTCATTCGCAAAAAAGGAAATGAGAGACTCTTCGGGCACTGGGCACCCCGATCGGAGCTGAGAATCCTCTCAAGAAGCCTCCGCCCGCCGCACGATCCATCATTTTACTCAAAGCATCCATCACTAGAATGAATATCATGGGGGATAGGGGGTCTCCTTGCCCGAGACCCCTGGAGTTGCCAAAGAAACCACACGGGCTACCATTAACTAGGACAGAGAATCTGACTGAGGAAATGCAGAACTTGATCCATCCCCTCCATCTTGCCCCAAACCCCATCCGCTTCATAATGAAATCCAAGAACTCCCAATTGACATGGTCGAAAGCCTTCTCAAGGTCCAGCTTGCATAGTAAGCCGGGATCTCTATTTTTCCTTCTGGAGTCTACAAGTTCATTTGCCACCAAAGCGGCATCTAGGATCTGCCTACCTTCCACAAATGCATTCTGAGAGGACGAAACAGACACGTCAAGAACCTTCTTGAGTCTATTGAAAAGCACTTTAGAAATAATCTTGTAAATGCTCCCCACGAGACTAATAAGCCTGTAGTCACTAATACAAGATGCACCTTCTTTGTTAGGCACAATAGTAATAAAAGAAGCATTGATACTTCTCTCGAAAACACCATTCACATGGAAGTATTCAATGGCTTCCATCAACTCCCCCTTGATGGTGTCCCAACAGAACTAGAAGAAGGCCAAGGAGAAACCATCGGGGCCGGGGGCCTTATCGCCAGCACAACTCGACACAGCCTCGTGCACCTCCTCCTCCTCGAAAGCCCTTTCTATCCACTCATTGTCTCCCTCCCCTATGTGGTTGAACTCTATCCCCCCAAAGTCGGCCTCGAACTAACTTCCTCTTTGTATAAGTTCTCATAAAACCCCACTATCGCCCTTTTTACCTCCTCCTCTCCCTCAATCCTCACCCCATCCACCACTAAGGATTCTATGAAGTTTCTCCTTCGATTTGCAATCGCCACCATGTGGAAAAATTTGGTATTCGAATCCCCTTCCTTTAACCATAGCGCCCTCGATTTTTGTCGCCAACTAGTCTTTTGAGCTATTGCTAAATCGACTATTTCCCTCTTAACCTCCCCCAATCTCTCTTTCTCAGATTCATCTAACTCCCTCGCCCTTTCCCCTCTCTCTAGATCCCCCGATTCATGCATAAGCTCCCTCATTTTAACCTCTACCCTCCCAAAAAGCTCTTTATTCCACCTATTAATATCTCCTTTGAGCAATTTAAGTTTCTTCGAAAGACGGAGTGAAGGTGTCCCTGATACCCCGTAGCTTGTCCACCCCGTGATAAAAGCAAGAATCGTCAAAAAGGAGTTATGCAAGAATTCAAGGCAATACGAAAGATCGAATCTTTTGTTTTTCTATTTTCTTTTTAAAAATATTAAGCAAAACCATCTTCAAGTGACTATAATGGACAAGAACTAAGTTTACAAATCTCATTCTTTTGGAGTCTAGCATCAAGCTCAATCACAATTAAACCTAAAATTAACACAGTACATTGGATATCATTTTGGCCAATACTCCTAAAATTAATCAATCATTCGAGAGTAATACATCATGAGTAAACTATACAAAAAAAGTTTGTACAAATCATAAGTTAATATAGTTAGACAGACGCACATTTAAAAGTCCATGATGGGATTTTAATATATAGGGAAATATTGTTCACGAGGTTTTTGGGATACTAGATACTTTAAGTACGTAGCTAACAAAAAATTGATAGTTTAAGCATGTTTTAGAATGAGTTAAATAGCTATGTGTAGAGTTACATGCCATGTTTTTTAGATAATTAGCGGGAGAAATTCAAAAATAGGCAGATTTACAAGTGGTCGTTCAAAAATAGCTCAGTTTCAAAAGTAATCGAAATTTAGCCACTTTTCATGTAAAGATAAATCTGAACGAAAATACTGTTCAAAATCTGGAAAAATACTCCAGCATAATCTACTGTTATACTGGAACTCCAGTCTAATATATTGGAGTTCCAGTATAATATACCGATCCAACATAATATACTGGAGTTTGGAGCACCGGTGCTCCAGTCTCCAATATATTATACTGGAACCAGCAAAGTATACCGGACCAGCATAATATGCTGGAAGTTCATACACAGGTGTACCGAACTCTTGTATATTATGCTGGATCGGTTTCTGTTGCAGCAAAATAGTGGCTATTTTTCATTGACTTGATAAATGCTGACTATTTTTGATTGACCAGTCCAAAAAATGGCTAGACCGTATTATTTTTATATAATTAGGGGCGTGTACTAGAACACACCTCTAGAAATACAATGAGGGATTTTTTAATATGAAGGTGAATAGTTCTGAGGCATATGATATAGGTTAACTGGATTTTAGGGTATTAACTCTTTTCCAAACACACCCAAGGTGAAAAAGTTAAAAGGATAGCATGTAAGCACAATTTCAATTCCAATGTTTATTGCAAAACAACACTTCCTCTCACTCTCTACCTCGGCCGGCGTTCCTGTGAAAATCCGACGAATCTCCGAGCTGACTTCAGCGGTCTCCGAGCATATCTCCAGCCGGAAGTTATTGATACTCGAATAGACCTTGTAAGCATCTTCAGTCTTCAGCTCAGGACTTAGGGTCAAGTTCCAACCTCTTATTCTCTCTTGAATCTTTGTTCTTATTGGAGTTTTATTTTTTGTATGCACCTAATATTAAAGTTTTTATATGATTCAGCATTCTTCTCGCTTGCCAATTTTTTGTTGTTGCTGACATTGGTAAAAATTACCCCATAAACGTTGTGTTTTTCGTGATTGTGTTTGTTCAGGGTTTCGTTTTCAATTTTACTGAGTAGTATTCTATCAGCGCCTATTTAATTGATCTTTTCTTTTTTTTGAACCACACAGTATGATAAATGGACCCTAAGTAGGTTTTGCAGTAGGTTGGCACTTGGCAGTCAGCTTAAAATTCCTCAAACTATGTTGAATAGAGCATAAATGGATATCCGAGGACTTCTATAGCTGTCAACTAATTTAGGATTGATGCGTACTAGATGAATTCTGTTGGCTTTTATGGTTTTGGTCATAATGAAGCTGAATGATTGTTTGACCAGTTAAAATTTGGATTTCTTCTTATTATTTAACCCTTGCATGAAGATTAGTGTTTTCATAATTTGACATTATATGTTCTTTGAATGTAAGAATGGCATCTATTGGACAACCACAGTCATCTTTGAAGAGACCTAGTCCTGCAGTTAACAGAGAAGGAGATAAACTCATTATCACTCCTTTAGGGGCTGGGAATGAAGTGGGACGGTCCTGCGTTTACATGTCTTTCAAAGGAAAAACAGTCTTGGTAGGCTACACGTCTTTGTCATTCTTCTTCAATTTTTTTTTGGGCCACAAGTTCTGAAATCGATTAATACATTTGATCTTTTTTGGCAGTTTGACTGTGGCATTCATCCAGCTTACTCAGGCATGGCTGCTTTGCCGTATTTTGATGAAATTGATCCTTCAACTATTGATGTTCTTCTAATAACCCAGTAAGTTTTCTCATTTCTGGCCTTAGTTCTATAATGTTCATTTTATTGTTTGAAAGATTGTGTCTCAATACAGCACCTCAGCACAAGTTTTTTTGTTGTTGATATTTTAGCATAACTCATTGATTAAGAATTTAGGTACTTAGTGAATTTAGTTAGTACCAAAAGCCCCTCTTGGCGAAAAGTCAAGAAATCCACAAAAAGTAAATTGAATCTAATTAGGCTAATTTAAGGATAGAGAATACGAGATAGGGAATATAGATTCTTTTGCATTTTTTTTGTCTTTCTATTTTTCTTTTTCCAGCTTTATTCCATGACTGGTTTCTTAAACTTTTTTCTTTTGTTTATTGTTTTTTCTCTTGGTGGATGATTTTGAATGTTGAGTGTTAATTCTTTATGGAAAACAGCACTTATGGTCCTTGTGTTATTGCTTAATTTCAGTTTTAGTCCTTGTAATATTAAACAAAGCACATTTAACCTTTAATTAAATAATGTGAGGTTTTTTGGTCCCTTCACTAATGGAATTTAAAAACAAACTGACAGCTAAATATTAAGAAGGGGCATTCAGACATTTAAATTTTTTATTTATTTAAGTTTTTAATCCATGCCTCCATTTAGGTTAGTAGTGGGTTAGTCATATTGATATTAAGTGGCAGTAAATTGAATAGGTATTGCAGTACAGGTACTTCTTCTCCCAAAGTGTTCTATTGCTTAAACGGATGCAAAACTCATCTGAGCTAAATTCATGGTGGAGCCTATTTGACTGTATATTGGTTTGATTCTTTATCAAGTGCATGTTGCTAAAGGCTCCAGAAGAGGAGTGGTTAAGTTTCAATGCAAGAAGAAAAACAAATTATAAAGACCGAAAGAAAATGCACGACTAAGTAGAATTAATATTATCGGCTCTTATGTTTGGGTGGTTCTATGTGTTCTTGGTAGAGCTTTTCTCGGATCTTCTTATACAAGAGGAGTCAGGAAAAAGGGCACTGCCATTAACCAAATAAAAAAACTAATCTTTCGTTGAATCCAAACGGAAGATGGGAAGAAAAGGGTTTCTTTGCTGGGAGACAATGCAAATTAAAATGTTAAAATTAGGTTATTCTTTTGTGAGGTTTTGTTGCTGAAAATTGTACCTATAATATCCAAATTGCGCCTCTTAGTAGCTACTATTAGTTGTTTTTTTAAGTTCCTTTGGTGAAGGGAACAAAACCACTCATATTGTTTAATTAAAGGTTAAATGTGCTTCATCTAATATCACAAGGACTAAAATTGGAATTAAGTGATAACATAATATGGGACAGAGGAGATAATTTTTTAAATCGTTCTCTGCGCGGACTTTCATATTTTTATTATTATCGTGATTACATACTTAGCAGATGAAAAAGAAGATTTCCATTTTGTGATTATACTCTCACACGTTTGGAAGTGCACAAACTTCCAATTGGTTTGAAGTCGTCAATGGACTAGCTCATCATTGTTTGAAATTATTTTTGTTATCATTGATAGAATGGTCCAGATATGGGACCAATGCTTCAAAGAGCCATTGACGAGTTATTAGAAGCAAAGCGGCCAATGTTCCGAGAAAAAAAAAGCTTTACTAGATAATCTCTGCTACCTTTCACCGGCACAGGTACTAGGTAACATTGTTCACCAAAGCTTGGATAGATGGTGAGAAATCACCTAGTATTTTGCCTCCACTGGGATTAGGGGAGTGGACTAATCTAGTTCATCTTATTATCTATTCTGTGGTTCTGATTTTGAGTGAACTAGTTAGTGGACGTGCATTGTGCATGTACTCCTCCACAATGATTAATTTTCTTAAAAAATCACATAAGTATTATTTTATAAAATAAAAGCATAAGCTCCTGAAATTGATGAATGCTAATCCTATTAGCCTCTCTACCTTCTTAAGATAGGGTTAAGGTCTGCGTACACGCTACCCTCCCAGACCCCACTAGTGGGATTACACTGGGGTGGTTGTTGTTGTAATAAAAGAAAAAACCATGTCTCATAGAAGTTCTCCATCATCATTTAATATATTTATCTGAAATTTTGTTCTAGTTTTACAATTTTATTAGCTTAATCTTACTGTTTATCATACTTCCTTTTTAGTTTTAGCAAGACATAATCCTTGAACATTTAAGAGTTGTGATGAAATTTTTCTTAAAAGGCTATTTTAAAGTTTATTCGAGAAGATAAAAATAGGGTTGCTATACTGTTATTACGATTCTTAAAAAAATTGTCAAGTAACATAAATTGAGAAATTGAATTTTATGCCTTCTCAATTTATTTTCCCTCAAAGGTTTCAATATTAACTCTGTAGTAAGCTTTTAGTTTTATACATTTTATCTTTTACTATTTCATCCTCATTTCTTCAAGTTTGCAAATTTTAACCAAGATAACTCTTAATGCTTTATTATATATAACCGATTTGTTCATATTGAAACAAATTTATGGTCTCTAAGATTTGGGTCAAACTTGAAAAATGAATTTACTTTTATGAATTTAGGAAAGAATAGTATTGGATTCTTTTGCTAATTAGTTAATTCAAATACTTAATTATTTTTTTCAATGTTAAAAAATTTTATTTTTTATTGATTCAAATTCTTAATATTAGCTCAAATCAAATTTTAAATATTCAATTTTAACTTATATATATTTAATAAAGAATTCTTTTCTCAAATGATTAAAAAAATCGTGTTTTGCACTTTGTGTTTGTTGAAGCATTAGCGCTATTAACTTTTGCAATCATTTTCTTTCTCTTTATTTCTCTTTTATATTATAAATGTTTCTTAGTTGTTTTTGTTGAGTGTAATTTTTAAATATATAATTATAATTTTATGTTATTAATACTTATACACAAGGAAAAAAACATGAAAAATAGTTTTGTAAATGATTATTAATTATTTTGTTGTTAATAATTGGCCCAAGTAGCTTTTGACTTCGAGTAGAATAAAATCTATAGTACATTGTTCTTATAAGATTAATATAACTATTTTCCATTTTTTTCTTCTTTATGGAATTGTTCGTATCATGCATCCTATATTTTAGTAGAAGTAAATTCAAGATGATGATAATTTATTACAGGCAAAATCTTAATAATTTTAAAGGTCTAAATATTAGAAGTTCTTATCTAGTTCAAATAACGACAGGTTTAGAAATTCAAAATTTTAGTTAATTTCAAAATCTTAAATATAGCCGTGGAAATTGCCTCTTGGAAAAATGCAGGGTAAGACTGCGTACGATAGACCCTTGTGGTCCTGCCCTTCTCCGGACCCCACGCATAGCGGGATCTTATTGCACCGGGTTGTCCTTTTCCCCCTCAAAATCTTAAATATTAGGATAATAATTGAATGACTATTTTGTCTAGTGTGAACTCTTTTTTGAAAGGTTAAAAAAAGTGAACAACATTTTACTAAGGTCTTTCGTGCTTTTAATATAATATAGATTACTTGCGCCCCCTCTAATTGTCTCTGCAGTGTGTTCAAGTCCTTTGACATGCATATTAACTGTTGACCATTTGTTTAGCTGTTTCTTTTTTATCCTGAATTTTTTTGGTCCCTTTTCCTTTTTATCTTACTCCAAGTGCTTGCATTAACTTGCTCTAATGCTTTGCAGTTTTCACTTAGATCATGCTGCCTCCCTTCCTTATTTCCTCGAAAAGGTTTGTTTAGGGGTTCAAAATCTTTTTACTTGCAACTGTTTAGTACTTTTTTGTTGATTCATATTAGCTCCTTTTATTTTCAGACTACATTTAAAGGGCGCGTATTTATGACTCATGCAACAAAGGCCATATACAAGTTGCTTTTGTCAGATTATGTTAAAGTGAGCAAAGTTTCAGTTGAAGATATGTTGTTTGATGAAAATGATATTAGTAGCTCCATGGACAAAATTGAGGTTCGTTTTTCAACATCCCATGATTGATCTCCAAGCAGTGTCTGATTAGTCGTCATGCAGACATTTATGAAATTTATTCATTATCATGCAGGCATACCATCACTTTGCGTAGGGTTGTTGTATACTTGTTGTATTTATCACATAGAATTATATGTTTATGTAAATGAAATTGTTATTATTATTGGTGACAATCATGTAATCATGCTGACGTTTATGCACTGAAGAAACATCTTTTACCTACTCTGGTATAAGGTTTCACATTGTGTTAAGTCTTAATTGTGGCTATCTGACATATGAAGCATGCCCTCGATATTTTAGAGGAGATTGAGATTATGGAACCTAATGCTAAGTTATTTCTAGGATAAGCGAGCATTTAACAGATCTTGGATGGTGCAGGAGGTTTTGTTGATAAGCCAAATTATCTCTCATCATATGTCTCGATGATATTAGCTAGGATACTAAGTTCCTACAGGATCATCGTAATAGTTATTGGGACGTGCATTTTAGTGGTGCATGGACTCGTATAGGAAGATTGAGGACCTACTAAGATTCGGTTTCTTGCTTATATATGGAGTATTGCATCACAGAGCCCCGGACTGACCTGTAGGCATGCTAACTTAGAACGAGAAGTTGAGCCTGAACCTGCATAGATTATTGGTTATTGATGGATGCTCACCTAACAGGAGATCTTCTTTCAGATATTATGTTTTTAGGTATGTATCAAAAAAGGGGAAAAAACTGTCTTAATGGGATTTAACCTACCTTATCAAAAAAATAACTGTCTTAATGAGAGAAATCCCTTTTCAGTATGGTATTGTTACCAATCTAAAAAATAAGTATGGTATAGTTACTAATCTCTCAAAAAATAACTTTTTCCTAAAAATAGTATGGTATAGTTACTGAGTCAAGTGTAGAGGTTGATTATAAGGATATACATTGATTTCATATTAGCTTTTGTTGTTAAAGTAGTTGGCAGAGGAGGTGAAGTTTAGGACAGCGATGCAGATGAAGCTGATTTAAGATAGTCAAATTGCAGTGCATATTGCTTTTAAGCCAATATTCTCATCTGCAAGAAAATACAGTTTCAATGTATCTCTTCATTATTTTTGTTAGCTTACTTAGTTGGCAAATATACTCCCAAAGCTCTCAGTATATGCTCTTCAGGTCATTTTAGAATGTATTATGTTTGGTGTTCTTTATAGTTTTACTGCCGAGAGATATTTACTTTTACACGCATGAGGTCTATAAATAATACGCAAGAGATCTTTGCAGGGTTATTTTCTTCTATTCAAATTGTAAAGGGTTATTTTGAACCATTTCCTATGTTCAGCACCTAGAATGTTAGACATACTTGTTATAGTAATTATGATACTTCCCTTTATTTCATGTACCTTTGATTCCTATATGAGGAGCTCTTTCCTTTACTCTTTCTTCACTAATTCAATGGTAGCTTCTCCTTTCTCATGTAATTAAACATTTTAACATGAAAATAAGTTCAAATGAAGCAACAGGTTTGAACCGTGCCCCAAACAAAAGCTTGGTATTTAAGCGGGGAGTAGAGGGGTGGGCCCATCATCCACTTAGCTTCAAACCGTGCACCACTGACCTCGAGAATTTCTCAATTATCAAAAGAAAGTTTGAAATGAATCAGTATAAAAATCAATTTGCTAAAATATTAAATTGTGGTGGAATAGGTGTCGTGGAGGCAGGGTTGGGGTGGAGGTGAGGTGTTAGTTGTGGGAAGGGATGGTGGGAGGAGTAGAGTATAGCTAATTGGGGGATGCGATGAAAACATTAACACAAAAAAGCTTCCTTGGCATATGAACTGGAATATGCAATCAAGGCAATATGTTATTTCTTCACCGAGAAGGTAGGATTTTGATTGTGTTGTTTGATCTCTTTTGACTATAAGGGGCCGTGCAGTGGAAATTTAAATCTTTTGGACTCTTTTGGTTTCCCTTTTATTTAATTGTCCCAAAGAGTGTTAAATGTTTCTTAGAGAAGCAATTGATGATAGATTGTGCTTTTCATATAGCTAAGAGAGTTTCAGACCTTTGTGTGCATTCGTTGCAGCATCTGGGTTCCATGAAATGAATTAAATTAATCTTCTTACTGGTTATAAAAAAAATTGATGTTTTCACTGAGAAAATGGATAGATTGTGCCTTGAATATGCCATCATGCCACATTAGACATCTGCAATCTGGGAGAAATACATGCAGAAATACATGCAGTTTATGAATGTCAGAGAGTATAGGCACTAATTCATGTTTTGGTTAGACCAGTTTTATAGTTATTGTTTTTGTTTCTAATTTCATATTGTAGAGAACCATGTTTTATGTGTAGGTTCACCACTTTGTTACATTTTTCATACCACTTGTATAGTGATTTTTTCCCACCATATCAATGGATATGGGTAAGGCTGCATACACACTACCTTCCCCACCCTCCCAGACCCCACTTGTGGAATTACTGTGGGTTTGTTGTTGTTGTATCAATGGATTACTTTATCATCTTTTTAGAGAAAAGGCATAAATTGCCCATTAAGCTTGTCCAAAAAAGTCATTTATACACCTAAACTTTACGGGTGAGCTAAAATCCCACTATTCTAGTTTGAAGTGAATTTATTTCCTTCCTGAAAACTGACTTGGCAAAGAATGTGTTATCAGATTCTTACATGCGCGTGGAAAGAAAGAAAAAAGTTAAAAACTGAGTTAACTATACACGTGTCATATTTTGTGTTTGGATGTTGTCAACTAATTAGACTTAATTATTTATTCTTAATATCTTTTTTATTTTTTATTCTTTACTCTTTCCTTTCTTTTTCTTTCTCTTCTTTCTCTTCTTTCTCTCTTCTCCTTAATCGTCTTCCATGTTCGTGGTCTTTAATGGCAAACCAAATCATTTCTGTCCGATCAAGATTTGGCCAGTGTTTGGCCGAAAAATTGTCGTCGCCGCCAAAAACCCCATTGTCCCTCGCCAGAAAACCCACCTAGAATGACCTTCTTTGTCATCCGTGAACCAAGGACCATGTTATCAGAAATTGATTGAATTCCAGCAAAAAATCTCTGTTTTGGTTCAATTTATCGAACAACACAATATATAGCAGGGTTGTCTCTATGCCCGCTGAAATAAACTTAATGAAGTATCACTATCTTACATAACTTTCAAGGCTTGCATAATATAAGTCATATTTAGTAAAAATTGGAGCTTGTCCAGTTGGGTCTTCTTCTGAAAACTGTAGTACCAACAAAAGAAAGTACCTTTTGCATTGAAATTAATCAACCCAAAACTGTTCTGATTCGCAACATAAAATCAATGAAAATTTGAGAAATATGGACTAAGTTCTTGGACCACCCATCTCCAAAAAAAAAAAAAAACATACGACTGATAAAGTCAATAGCTTGAAAATTCTCTCAAACTTAACCGGAAATTAATTTAAACTTGCTAGAATTTTTTTCTTGAATGCTCTGATTTTTGTTCTCTCTGTCTAGTGGTTTTTTTTTCTCTTTTCATTCTTGTGAACTGTTCCTACTCTCGCTTGTCATCCAAGGAAGAAGATTTCGCAGGATAGAGGTCGTAGGTCTGTGATGTTTAGTGTAGAAAGGGAGAAAAAGATGATGGAAGGAAGAAGTGAAGGAAATGATGGGGTGATTTTTTTTTGGTTGGGGGAGGTGCTCTATTGAAAAAGAAGAAAAATGGAAAACAAATGTGACAAAAGCAACCTGCAGACTGGATCTAGTTGTAATATTTTAGGGGGCAAATAAATTCACTTCAAATTAGAATAGTGGGGTATTAGATCACCCGTAAAGTGTAGGTGTGTAAATGACTTTTTTGGACAAGTCTAGTGGGCAATTTATGCCTTTTCTCTCTTTTTTTTTTTAAAAGATTTAGCAAACATATATGTCTAGGGTTATTTGACATGTGAAATCTTGTTCTGCAGGTTGTCGACTTCCATCAGACTATGGAAGTAAATGACATTCGCTTTTGGTGTTATACTGCCGGTCATGTCCTTGGTGCTGCCATGTTTATGGTTGATATTGCTGGTGTTCGAGTTCTCTATACAGGAGACTACTCCCGTGAAGAAGACAGGCATCTCCGTGCTGCTGAGACCCCAGAATTTTCTCCAGATATTTGCATTATAGAATCAACTTATGGTGTTCAACTCCATATGCCACGTCAGATAAGAGAGAAGCTTTTCACTGATGTGATACACTCAACACTCATGCAAGGGGGTCGGGTGCTGATTCCTGCTTTCGCCTTGGGACGTGCACAGGAACTTCTCCTTATCCTGGAGGAATATTGGTCTAACCATCCTGAACTTGCTAATTTCCCCATATATTATGCTTCTCCACTTGCAAGAAGGTGTATGGCTGTCTATCAG